CATGTGTATAAATTTATTTTAGCTGTTTCCCTCTGTATTCTTGATTTATAATGATTCTTTTCTAAAATAGTGACTTTCAAATCTTCCACATAGTGACCTGGTAGACTGAAATGGTTGAAGACAGGTTCTGTGTATTGTGGTTTCTCATGTCAGATTTGTGGCCGCTGGATAGAAAGAATGCTTCACTTTCTCTCATAATGCTAGAACCCAAGAAAGCACTGTGTAGAATTCCCTGTCACAAGTACTGAATGCTGTCAGCCTAGATATTTTAAAAAGGAGATTGGATGAAGATGAAGAATTGGGCCATGGTGAATATATTCCTACCAGTACCTCAGACAAAATTATGTATATCAGTTACTACGTATAATATGTAGTAACTGATGTAAAGCAGAGGGAATAGGGTGCTGTCATGCTCACTTTCTGCTCGCAGGCTTCTCTTAGGCAACAGTGTGTCACTATGTGAACAGAGTACTAGACTAGATTGGTTTTAGTCAGATTCAGCTCCACTTTTATTCTCCAAGATGCAGGGGCATTTTCTTTCTTTCTTTCTTTCTTTCTTTCTTTCTTTCTTTCTTTCTTTCTTTCTTTCTTTCTTTCTTTCTTTCTTTCTTTCTTTCTTTCTTTCTTTCTTTCTCTTTCTTTCTTTCTTTCTTTCTCTTTCTTTCTTTCTTTTTCTTTCTTTCTACCTACCTACCTACCTAACTACCTAAAATATATAAAATACCCCTGCATCTTGGAGAATAAAAGTGGATCTGAATCAGACTAAAACCTATCTAGTCTAGTATTCTGTCGTCAAGTTGATTCTAACTCAAGGTAACACTTTTCCAGGATTTTCTAGGTACAGGTTACTTAGAAGTGGTTTTCCAGCCACTCTTTCTGGGGCACCCTGGACTGTGCCACTAGTCCAAGGCCACACAGGCTGGCTTTTCTGGAGATACAGTGGGGGAATTGAACTCCCATTGTCTGCCTTCATAGTCAGATGCCTAACTTTATACTACACGGCCAATATTTTAGCTGCCTGCCCAAGATGTTAATGGTGGACCTTCTGACACAATGCTGCTACTATTGACCCTGTAATTCAGCTAATGCCTCTGACCTCTTGACAGGCTAGTGTAGAAGGAGCTGAGCTGACATTCCTGTTAGGCACAATGAGGTATTGTAGCTCTGTTAGGCAGCAGATTCTGAGTGCCAGGGAAGGTGAGCAGAATGTTTGCTACTTAACTATATTTTTAATCCCAGGGACTGGGAGAGGCACTAGTGAACTTTTTCTGTCCCAGAAGAAACTGGAAGCCTTTAAGTATCTTGACTTGAGTCAATAGGGATGCTGTTTGTTACCCTGATTCAGGCAGCAAAATGTTTTGAGCATCTCTGAGCAGTAGCTGTCAGTGGGCTCATATGATGGACCTTCTGACACAATGCTGGTCCTTCGGACCCTGTAATTCAGCTACTGTCTTTGACAGTCTAAGAGACAGACACAATGTTGGTTTCAGAAGGATCAGCATTGTGTCTGTTGCAGAGAGTGAGGACCTGGCTTTACTTTCTGATGCCTGCTTCCCAACCAACAGCTAACCATCACTATGATACTGCTGTTTCTTAAGATGGTACTGTACAATGCCAGTTTCTCATACTACAGGAACAGTTAGGGAGAATGAATGACACCATGAATAATTGACACTGTAGTATCTGTTTTGTTGATGTTTTCTAATGACCAGTGTTCATTGACATGAACATGTCATTTGAGTCATATTCTTGTTTTCAATAGTGGGAAAATCTACTCATGAGACTAATACTTCAGGTTGAACAGGTCACTTCATCGTACAACAAAGAATGAAATATGACAACAAATTATGGTCATGAAAAGCACGCACACCTAGCATAAATGATTTAGGCATTTTTCATAGGTGGAAAGAGCTAGCACTACAATCAAGAAATACTTGGGAGAAAGCAGAAAAAGCACACTTAACAAAGGCCAGTGTAAAGTGTATGTTCAAAGCTCCCCTCCAGAACCAAGTGGACATTTATTTTATTCTCCTGTGCCCATCAAACTTGTTTTCGTTGTACCAAATTGAATGTTGTTTCTTTCTTCCAGGGTATTAGCTATTTTGTGTCATCTGCATATTTGATAAGCATTCCCTGCACCTCCTCATCCAACTCATTACAAATGTTGAAGAGTGTCATGCCCAGGACTGAGCCCTGTGGTAGCCCAATTGTTATCTCCTCCCAGGTTGGGGCAGAGTCACTGATCACTCTGAGTATGATCCTCTAACCAACAGTGTATCCATCTGATAGTTGTTCTATCTAGCCCACGCCTAGTTAGCTTTCTAGTCAGAATATCATGCGGCACTTTTCAAAAGCTTTGCTGAAGTCAAGATATATTACATGTTAAAGGTAAAGGTAAAGGTTCCCCTTGACAATTTTTGTCCATTCGTGTCCGCCTCTAGGGGGCAGTGCTCATCCCCGTTTCCAAGCCACAGAGCCAGCGTTTGTCCAAAGACAATCTTCCGTGGTCACATGGCCAGTGCGACTTAGACACAGAACGCTGTTAATACATTTTGACTTCAACTAGTATGATTTCATCCTTGTTTAAGAATCTGAAGTACTGAATGGTTTGTGTCTTTCTTAACAATCAGTCAACTCTTTCCTTGCTGTGTGCGCTTTACTTCTTTAAAAGAAAGCACAGTAGAAATAGTTTTCAGAAGGTACAGAGACTTTGAGGAGGCGGGAAGAGCTATTTGTCTCATTTTGGCTGAAGGCGTAGAAGCTCACAAGGTTTCAAAATTCCTCATCAAAATGTCTTACACTTTCAAAACAGTGTCAATCAGTAAAAACAAGGAATTTAGTGAGCATTCTTTACACTACTGGTGCAGAACACCCCCATGAACAAGCGTCTCTCTCAACATATTACTTTTCATGTAAAGAATTTGATGACTGAGGGGGCAGAGCCAGCAGACTCCCCTTCTAACAAGTTAAACACAGTAACTTGGGTTCATATCATTGTCTCTATTGTTCATCTCTGGGCGCTTTTATTATGAACATTAGCTTTGAGTACCAAAGTGCGGCCCCTGCAATTCTCCACCATCAAACCTCGATAATAAAATTCTACAAACATGTCCCCAAATCAGGGACTGTGTGCAGAGGGAATGATTTAAACACATCCCAAACTTGCCAATCCAGCCCTCTCTCTTTGTATTGAAGGAGCAATTACAGTAACCAGTATTTGCCCCTGTCCTTACAAGTGAAAATCACACGCAAAGTGGGAAAATTGTAATTTAACAAATAAAAACAAGGAAAGAAGACTGCAAAACAAGTGAAATGCACAAGAGGGAATAAAGTGGTTAAATGCTTCGTTAGTAAAAATATTATTTATTGATTTTAGCTGAAAGAATGTCCAACTGAAATCAATAAGTAACAACAGCACATGGATTATGCATACATATCTTTCTTAGACAAGGATGAATAGATGCTGTTTTGTGTATAAAGATGGGTACTCTGTCTATTGATGCAACATGCTCCCTGCATGGATCCCAAAGTGAAACAGATGCTCAACTGCTCCACTTTTGCCAACAGCACAGTGCTAAGCTGCAGCTCACCCCTTTGAACTAAAATCCTGGAGGGAAAAGATACATATGTTTGTTGGCTTTAGCGATTCCTTGTGGCATTCACACATGATTTGAGGTTCTCTTGAAAGGTTTAGCAAGAAAAAACAAACAGTAACTCTAAGAAATGTTTTCTAAATCAAAAATCAATAGAGCTGGCATGGGTGAACATGGCGAATGATGACTAAGTGTGCAGAATGCTGATGATGAGAGAGCAGCAGAAAGGTGCAGTGTTTTTGTTTGTTTTTGGTGGCTTTTGCTTGTTTCTACAGCAATCAGGAGCCATTTATTCAGCCTTGAGTTCTTAGGTATCCCTGTGGAGGACCTCTGACCTTTCCATGTAGTTAGATGGAAAGACAGAGGTGTTGAATGTGTTGCAAGTTATGCTCTCTATATGCTCTGCTTAATGCATCAGTGGTTGCTTCTTTCTTTTGAATATATATCTTTGCCTTCCCAGAACTATCGACCAGTCTGCCAGAAAGCTGGGGCAGCACAGAGCAGGACTGAGGGTTTTTCTTTCCTTTCCTTGCTTTCCATAAGATGACTCTTGGTTCATGAAAGGACCAATTCATCTGTTACATGTTGGGTATACTTGTCAGACTTCTCTAAACACACACTCAATATGAATATTAGCATACTGCAATACAGCAATTTAAAAACCAAGTTTGACAGACAAATCACAATTGGTAGTGCAGCACCTATTCTGCTCAGGCCAAAAATAGAGACAAATCACAATTGGTAGTGCAGCACCTTTTCTGCTCAGAGGAAGTTACAATGTGCCCCAGGCCAAAAATAATGATCAAGGGCAATGGTACCTGAAGGCCAAAGGAATAATTTAGAAAAATTTACCAATATGGGTCAAAGCAAGTGGAATATATCATATGCTGCGAAATTCTTCCTTGACTCACCAATCAAAGTTATGTGGGTTCTTCACTTTTCTGACTCAGCCTGTAGTTAACTGGTTAAGTGTATACAAGGCCAATTAGTCAAATTCTGAAGACTTGACTTTCTTTACTGCTATTCAGCTTTGAAGTCTCCCACTCTGAGCTTAATTTCAAGTTAGGGCTACTGTTGGTGCTTTTAATTACAAGGGTATTAAAATGTTCTGTCTATTCTCAAAGAATCCATTCCCCAACCAATCTAAATTCCCTAAATTCTTGGAGCAGAATTTATTTTATTCATTTATTTGATTTATATCCCGCCCATCTGGTATATTCTACCACTCTGGGCGGCTACCAACAAATATATATACATTAAAATAACACAGATCCAATTGGCATAATCAATAGCAAGAGCAGTGCAAAAAATATGATAAATGATAGATAACAAAAGAAAGAAGTTAAATGCTGGCAGGAGGAAAGGCCTGGGTGTACATTGTAACAATGGAAAAATGGCTTTCCTTACCTGTCCATTGACAGCTGAGCCACCAATGTCACATCGGTGTTATCTGGGGTAGACTCATACTCGTAGTGCAGAAAGTATAGGTGAGTCCGATGGACAGTGAAACGTTCACGTCGAAACTCATAGCACATGTCATCTTCATCCAGCTCAGACAGCTGTTTCTGGAGCTGAAAAACAAAAACAAACCCAACATCACAAAAGCACAAGAAATTGTTAAGATTCATTTATCGAAGGACAGTTGTTCCTAAAAAGTGGGTGTCTCATTACTGTAGTGTTATCTCCTTTTCATTCTTTATAGGTACGAATACTTTCACAGAGCCTAAAGTCTTCCTGCTTTTAGACCCTAAAATGGACAGAAGAGCATGCTGCTTGATAGATATGAGTCAGATAAAGTGTTGTACAGTATTATCTACATTTTAAGCATACTGACCTAATGCATATTTCCTAGACCAGTTCATGGATCAGAACACAGTTACTGGACTCTACTGCTCTGATGTTTGCAAAGTACTTCATTCTCTGTTTAAAATTATATACACAACTGTGGATATAAAGGGAAATTGTACATGCAAAATGCATACTCAAATAAGCATGAATGTCATTGCAGAGTTAAAAAGCTTCAGACTGGTTAAAAAATTAGAGACTATGAATTTAGAGATGAACACATACAAAATTGGCATTGCATTCAAAATAAATTTATTTGCTAATTCTTACTTCTCACAAGGCATGAATTTGTATTTAAAAGAGACTAAAATAGGCATGTTTGATGAAAGTTTAAAAGACTGCAAAAGATTAACCACTTCTGCTGTGAGTGTGGATACTATCATGCCTGCTTGAGAATAACCTTCCTGAAAGATTTATATCATACTGAATTCTATTTTCTAATAACTCAGAAACAATTCTGACTTTCCTGAAGAATATGCCCTGCTAAGTCCAGGAAAGACCAATTTACTTGCACGAGCCAATTCTTGTTAGGACACCACATATCTTAGAAGTCAGGGGTGCTTGAGAGTTATAAGATAAATTCAGTTATTAGCTCCAACTAGAGCAGTTCGCTGAATGGACCTTATGTAAATGCCAATTTACCATGTCCCATTGATTCAGTGGGTCTACTCAAATTGGGGCCAGTAATTTCATTCAGTCCCATGTTACTGACAATCTGCAAAATCCATATCAAAGTTTCCTACTATGGCAAGCTGCCTATCAAGACATTCAGCAGGACCATACAACCTATGCTTGAAAGATGGTTGTCCTAAAGACTGCCTCTTCTGTGTCTCCCAATGTTGATTTAATAAAGAGCAAAGATCCTAGTTCTCATATTTATCTCTTTACTTTAAAGAGCAAAAGAAATGCAAAAAAAGAGAAAAGAATGTCTTAGTTAAACCTGGAGGCTTGTACGAGGCAACAGGGCATCGTTGTTAGGGCTGCTACATTCCAAGTTCAAAGAGCCATGGTAATGTCCAGTCGGAAGGTGAACAAGAAGTTATTTTGGCTGGTGCTGGAACATTCAGCAGGTTCTATGGCCTTCAGCAATGGAGCTCATGAGCTTGTCCAACTTGGAACACGTCTGACCAGCCAGTAGCAGGTTAATGGTTGTGGGAATTGGCCTTCACTGGTTATTTTAAGCCTTATTTAAAGGTAAAGGTTCCCCTTGACAATTTTTGTCCAGTCGTGTTCGACTCTAGGGGGCGGTGCTCATCCCCGTTTCCAAGCCATAGAGCCAGCGTTTGTCCGAAGACAATCTTCAGTGGTCACATGGCCAGGGCGACTTAGACACGGAACGCTGTTACCTTCCCACCAAAGTGGTCCCTATTTATCTACTTGCATTTGCATGCTTTCGAACCGCTAGGTTGGCGGGAGCTTGGACAAGCGACGGGAGCTCACTCCGACCCGTGGATTCGATCTTACGACTGCTTGTTCTTCTGACCCTGCAGCTCAGGCTTCTGCGGTTTAGCCCGCAGCGCCACCACGTCCCCTTATTTACTTCCCTTTAATTTCTTTCCCCAGTTGGTGGTTGGGGCAAGGCATAGAGCCTTAATCCTGTGAGCATACAAATTGTCTGCCTGCCTGCCTCTCCAACCTTATTAGGCTAAACAGTTTAGCAAAAACTGTACCCTACAAAGCCAGGCCTACTGTATCCAATCACTGTCTCCATGTTGTCCTTCTTTTCTTGCTTTGTACAAATACAGTTTCTTTTTACTCTTGAAACCACTGTTCATTATAACCTCGTTCATTTCATTTCCCCCAAAGCACAAATAATATCAGTATTTTAAATAAAGCTAGAAATAAAGCCAGATTAAACATCTTAATTTCTTTTTCCTTCCCTCTCCTGGAAAGACATTAACATCCTCCTTATCAGTCCTATTCATCAGCCTAAGTAGCAATGGTTAAAAGGGCTGTTTTGCCCCATTCCTTTGAGATATCTTAGTATCTTCTCTTTTTTTAATTTCACAAATAGCTCAGTTATAAGTTTGTAATTGCAAATCAGCTATTATCTAGGTAGTCACTAAATGATCATTAGATTATTTCATGCTCCTAAATTAAGAGAATATAGCAATTTAATTATGAGTTATGGAATAATGCTAAGAACCAAATTATTTTTCTGTAATGGGGCTGCATTTTATGCCCTAATATTTAAAAATGTTTTTTTTTCTACATATTTTTTTTTTATGGTCAGAAGTGAACAAGTACAAGTTTATCACATTTTGTTCGTAGTAGAAATATTATCCTACTGGCAAGGGATGGCCAACTTATTTACGGGAGGATGGGCTCACTATTCTACAGATGGTGGCACAGAAGTTTAATTTGTCACATGAGTGCTTCATTTGTGCTTCAGCAGCAACCTAGCACTATATTAAGCCTAGCACTATCCTTTATTAAGATTATATAATGGAGTATATATGGCCCAGCATAACTAGGACAGTATGTATTAAATCCATGGGAGAGAAGAACAGATGGATGGAGGGGTGAACAGCCAAACAAGCAGGGTTAAAGACTAGATTCTGTCTTTGAACCTGTATTTATTGTTATACTTCATGATATGTTTTCACTTCATAAGTGAGACTGTAGGCAAATATTTTCACCCAAAGCATGATTACAAATTGGAGCGCCTACCAATAGCTGAACAAAATTTGATAGAGCTACCATGTTAGCTCTGAAAACAGTAGGTTCTCATTAACTAAAGGTTTTTGAAGAAAAGCTGGAAAGCCATCTGATAGAGATGCTTTGACTGTGGATTTCCTGCATTAGCTGCAGTCAGACAAGAAGGGATTCTTCGGGTCCATTAAAATACTGAAATTTTATGACTCAATAAAAATAGCTTATGGGCCATGTCTGACCACAAAGTTGCCAATGAGCTTCTCCATCTCACTGCAGATCGGAAGATGGTTTTGTGCTGGAAGTTTCCAACTTGATCTCCCACCCTATGATAGGTTGGGAAATGATTTAATAGAATATTGCATACGTGTGGGTATTAACACTAGGCTATGCAGACAAGTAGGTTTTACTAGCAGGAGATATGCAGCTACCTAGAGACAGACACATCAGTTACTTTCTCGTTCAGCTTTAAATCAGGATGTATGCATATGCCCACAAGATGGCAGGTAGTGGTGTATTTCCAAAAATTTGACTCCCAATCACTTGCTCCACCATAGAGGATGGATGGCCACATCTTTGACATGGTTTCTACTGCTAATGGTCAGTCATTGATGACTGTTTTCCTCCATTCTTCCTTGCCTTTATTTTATTCATGGAGTGATATTAAGAAAATTTGTATTTAAACTGTCAACAAAGGGAAGGAAAGAATCCATATCTGAACTTCTGAATAGTATGGAAATTCTTGTGGATGTGTCATCAAGAATCAACCTTCTTAGATGCATTTATCTGTTCAGCTACTGGCTGGATACTGTAGGGATATTCTGTGCAAAACGATAGAGCTTTTTCATAACTTAACGAAGCAGCTGTGATCATTTTTGTCAAGTGGAATAAGACAGACTGTCTAATGAGCATCCCCCTCCTGCAAACGAGATGTCATTTTTCACCAGGATTTCCATCAGAAACAATGCTTTGTAATATGTACACTGGCCTACCTGTATTTTATAATGAAAACAGAAATCTGAGAGAGACTTTGTTCACTCAAGACCTGAAGAACTGACCTTTTGTGCTTATCCCAGCCCAAGCATGCTGAAGGCTGTTATACCCTTTTTTTGCCCCTTTCTCTATAATTACGCTTTTACACTTGAGACTATATCCTCCATGTGAGTATAGGTCCTGATGCATGCAGCCACCCTAGTTTATTTTATTCATTATGTATGGCATCTATCTCATTTATTCCTCCAAAGAATGGGTCTCAACAAGGCTCACAATGAAATAGAAGTAATATAGTTAAAAGCACAAAATGGATAAATATATGAAAGAATTAAAACGCAGAGAAAAGCCTAAAGGCTAGCATGAATAAGAATTCTAGCTCTGCCTGCTTACAGAAAGACAATGGAGAAGGAGCGAAGTTCAAGGTTGGATAATGCTGTCTCTCTAAAAGGTCACAGATGTGATGAACTTTCAAGTTCTATAGAACTCTTGAGCAGGAAAAGTCGATATAAAAAATTCGGCCAGACATGGTACTCATAGCTCACGCAGCTGAACTTCCAACAAAGCAAAATGGAGTTTTGATTCCATAATGGAGTGAGGTGACATCTTTTAGAGGATCTTCCCCCTTTGAAAAATTATCATTCCTGCAAAATGATGACTTTGTCCACTGCATCTCATTTTACTTTGTTGGCAGTCTGGCCACTTTAAATACCATGTTCACATGATGAGGAGTTCTGGAGAACTTGAAAGCTTGTCCTACATGTCCCTTCTTATTGATCTACTAAACGTTATTGCACAACCTTGAATGTTGTTTCTATGAATAGGCCACCTTATGAATAGGGAGGGAGTAAGCTTAGCCTCACTTAGTGTGTATGGACTTTCAAACTTGGAATGTCTTGCTGCACCGATCTGTAATTCTTCTCTTCCCACAATATGGTAATCTAGGGTCATTCTGTCTCCAAAGGGGATTGAAAATAAAACAGCCAACATTAAATGCCATTGTACAAAACGCTAGTAAGGCTGCACCTGGAGTGCTGGGTACAGTTCTAGTTGTAGCACCTCAAAAAAGACATAGTGGAACTGG